ACTCCATTAAGCCGACTCCCATCACATGTTGCACCACTTTACCTTTAATCAAACTGATAGCTGAGATGCTATAATCAATGAGGCTTTACAGAATGGCCGGCTGTGTAACTATGAAGGGCCTGTGTGGCGGGTTGGTTTCGTGTTAAAGTCACTACGGGCGTGTTAAACTGTTCAAATGCTTCTACTTTCAGTAAATATGAACATTTGTACTCATCTATCCGTGAATTATATTCTGCTTTTCCAGTTTAGGGTCACACGTGGTCCGGACCCTCTCTGAACACGTTTATGTTCGGGAAAAAGCCTACATGTTTAAAATGCAGCACAGCACGAATTCACATACTGTTTTCATATGCAAGTGTGACTTTGTTCATTTAAAAGAAAATGCTACAGAGTATTTTTTTAACTACTATGAAAGAATTTTGATAAGCTTTTGGTCAGCAATGAGACAAAATCCTTCTCTGAAGTCGTCTATGTTGAAAATCTGGGCACGTTCACGTAAACTTCTTGTCCGTTTTGCTAGCACCAAATTCAGTTCCCTGCTTTCTCAGCTCAGCTATGTCCCGTCTATTACACACAGTATTAGAAAGGAGATTTTAAAAAGTGGGGTGTGATTTGTGCTGAGTAAAATCTTTCCTCTGAAAAATGTGATCTAACAGCCTCCCGTCAAACGTCCTCCCTCCAATTCTAAGGATGACAAGTACTCCTTATGGGTTTTGGGAGTGCAATAAAATTTTGTCACAGATAATTAAACCAGTCAGCCAGCAGCCCTGTGAAAAACAATAGCTGAGAATCTCCAAGACTGCCCTGCTGACATTTAGACTGTTTGTGAAGCCGTCTCACAATTTCAACAGTGCTTCCAAATCCACGGTCAACATATATAGTTTAGACTTGCTTTTCAGGATCTGTAACAGACTGGCGGACTGCTGGAGCTGAAAATTACAGGACTATGAAGAGCAGCGAAAGTCAGGGGACTTTTTTTTAATTAGGGCTCAAACTCAGGCAAAGAGAAACGTATCAATCCAGACTCGTATAGCGCCAAGTGCAGCTATTCTAGGAATAAGCTATGATATAATCTGTCATAAAGGTTTTTCCTCATCTGTAACAACATGGCCTTAAATTATATTGTAAATACGTCTGGTATACTGAAGTCACAGCACTATATTCATACTTCTCTTAAACAAATACAAACCCAACTGCAGCAGGTTAGGAATTATAGCTTCTGTGAAATCAAACTTGTGGAGATGATGTAAAAGTTGTCGACTCTTTCCACGTACTATATTTTAGGGCAGACAGAACCGTATAAACGAGCGCAGCTCTCTAATCTAGTGTTTATTGCATAATGTCTTTTCACTTGATGTTTTGTCGTCAGCAAAGGTTTACCACAGAAACACAAAAGTAATCCGCTTTAATTTCTCGCCCACTCAGTGAATTAGAGCCATTTTTCTGAACTTCAGCAAAATGAAATTCAGCACTAACAAAACGATGTTTTACTAATTTAAACAAAAAGACTTGTGATATTTGTGATAACGCAGTGAATTTGATCATATATGATCTCACTTTATTGCAAGTCTGCTGATGGGACTGTGGGGCTGATTCTGCCCTGAGGTAGAATCATTTACTAATGGCCTCTGTTTGCTCTCCATTCAATAATAGTAATGAGACTATAAACAAACAAAGCCATAAAACTGATTCTGGCACTTTCCATGTTCTCTTGAACCCGTGTGATTAAATATTCATAGGGTTTCTATAGAAGCAAATCATGAAGAGGATCAAGTTTCTCATGCCACATAATTGGTGAAGCACAGGCAGAGATGCCCGTTTCTCCAGCTTAAGGCCAAGAACGTGTAACTAAAAAGCATTTACACAGTTTAAGTTTTTAATATATTGTGTTTCACTACAAACAGCTATGATGACATACAGTTAGTGACACATGATGCATTTCTGACTCCAGCTAAGTGGATGTAATGTGGTTACATGTTAAGCTTTTTTAGACTCGACTTAGTACTACAGCCCTGCGCTGCCTGGAGGATGGGTGGACAGAGTATATGAAAAACAAACAAACAGAATTTACTTTAAGAATTAAATCGACCTGAAGAGTTCGAGAGAAAAAAAGTATGAATAAGTAGTTGAAAAGATTCAATTATCAATACAAATTTGTAAATTATTAATAGAAAGTAAGGCTAGCAGCTGTTAGGTAATGCATAAGCAGTGCAAACAGCCAGCTAGAATCATGAATAAAAAAGTTGGATATGTTTGAAGTGTTGCTTGAAAATGAAAACGATAGACTGTGGACTCCACTGTTAGAAGTAGAACAATCAACAGCATTAAATGAGTAGGTATACTAACTAAACTGTGGATGAGTGGTTTTAATGATATACTAATAGGACACCGGCTGTAACAGATGGTTACAGTAAGGTGAATAGAGTTCATATCCAGTTTGAACGTGCCGACTTTCCACAGGCCTGAGAGCACTGGGGGCATCTGACCCCGTCCTTTATTGAATAAGCATCTATTTTTTTTTTTATTATCAGTGCAATATAAGGTTTTAAGATTACAGTTTAGTTTTGCAAATGACTGAACATTTGTCATTACACATCAGAAAATAAAATGAATTATTGTAGAAGAACATCATTATGGAAAAGTTCAAAAATGAATTTTAGTTACACTAAGATAAAGCATGGACTGTGAAACAGACTCACAGTTTGCTACGACAAAAACATTTTATTAAACTAAGTATTGCAAAAGTAAAACGACTGAATTTAATTTGCCTCCGGTTCATCAGACCTGCAGCCTCCCTGTCATCCAGCGCTCACATTGCTCTCCCCAGGCCTAAGGCTCTGCTCCGGATGTCACTCTTTATTTATTTACTCTGGACTCTCTGCTCGGTTCAGCTACACTTCCTCTGCTACTCTTGCGCAGCCAGCAACCCACCCGGCTCTCCACGCGTCCAGCCACACACTCTGCCCCGGCTCAACATCCCATCTGCATCGCCCTGCAGTAATTATTCATCTTTTATCTAAGCAGATCTTGGCCAAGGGAAAAAGATATTTGCCCAAAACTGTGATGCCGGATAAAATGTAAAAGGCAGAATGATTTTCAAATCTCATAAACCCTTATTTTTCCACAATAGAACACAAAAATCACACTGAATCTAAACTGAGACATGTTACTATTTCTAATTTATTTATTTATTTAACATAGGTTTAATATCAGCTCATTTTCAATTTGATAGCAGTAAGACTTCTCGAAACAGTTGAGTTGGGGTCAAAAAAGGACAGAATAGTAAGTAATTTTAAAAGGAGACAGCCATTTTGCAAATACTTGAGTAAATTGGTAACAGATCAATGATGACTGGATATAAAAAGAACCTGAGTTCAAAAGTAAATATCGACAGAGGTTCACCAATCTGCAAAAAAGCCAATGTCTAAACATTCCAGAATATAAAAAAGTGAATACTTTAAATCTTCTCTTCATCTAAAATCATCAAAAGATTCCAGGAGTCTGGAGAAATCTCTGTGCACAAAGGCCAAGGCCTAAAAAAATCTGTGCTGGATCTCTACGACATTTCAAACAGCACTGCGCTGAAAGCAGGAATCATTCTGTCACAGAATTTACAGCATGGGCTCAGGAACATTTCCACTCGTGCTTGTGAACACAGTTTGCTATGCCATCCACAAATGAAGGTTAAAGCAAAGATGAAGGCTGCCATCTTCAGCGAGGCCAAGTGGAAATCCTAGAATCTGATATGAATGACACAAACTGTAGAGTGTGATACGAATGAAGGGGGAAAAACACTGTTCCATTTGACTGGAAAATGCCATAAAACAGACCTGGGGTGGCACTGGGAAGTAAATGACTCTTTTGGCACATTTAAGCACTTTGAGATGTTTATCATTGACAGCTAACACCCTTTAAATTAGCTAATATTACATGCTGATGGTTCAGAGACGTATGCTGAGATGTAACGTGTATTTTTTATGCACTCATCAAGACTATTAAGGAGCAGAAAATAATTTGATTTCCAAACAGCACAAATCTCATGCAGCCATTTCACATCAGCGCTGTAATAATCTATGCATGCCATTTCTAACAGACAGTGAAATTATATCTGCAGCAGCTTCTGCATCAATCTTAGAAAACATAAGAGTGTGTCACACAAACCAAAAGAGAGAAAGGAAAAGAAAAGGAGAGAAATTATTAGACTGAAATTCTGGAATGATTCTATATTAACAGCATTAACATAATACGTTACTTAAGCGTTGAGCTTCATTTAGGCTCTTTGGTCATCTATCACGTCAGGAACGAAGACATTTCAAGCATCCAACTGGACTAATGATTTTAGACATTGGGGAAATCGTTGAACTATACCCATAATTGAGCCTGTGATAGCCTTGGCAACCTCGATAAAGGCATGCTAATGGGCTGAGGCAAATTATCTGGCTCACAACAAGCAATCCTCGCAAAGGCCCGGGTCTGAGCTGCATAACTACTTTTGCAGGAATGAAGACATGAGGGATTAACAGTTATGTGTGCAATAAGAATGCACACATGAAACAGAACATCAGCTTTTCTCTGGAAAGTATTTGAAGAAAGTGCATGTCAAATGCCAAAACATCCAGCGAATGTTGCTCCTGATTCCTCCATTTCTGTCTCAACAGATTCTTACATTTCCATGCTTGATCTGCTGTGTCGCTTCATTTCGCAGATTGCTTTCTCTTTGCAAAAGGAGGACAGCCCCAGCTGACTAATCAAAATGCTGGCAGGGCCCGAAGAGAGGCCAGGAATCTCAGAAAACAAACACCGGCAGTAAATCAAAAGTGATTTTAGAGGATGATCACAGATGGTGAGACTGAAAAGTGCTCCTACAAATTCTGTGAGTCCCCGGTGATTCGCACATTTCCCAAGCTGCTGTCTACACTTCTCCAAAATAGCTTGTGGCCCATTATAAATGCAAATAAAAAACATGGCTAGAGACCAGTTCTGGAGGTTTAAGCACTAACTGATGGGTGAGAGATGGTCATGGAACCACCAAAATAACCGTAACTGGAAGACAAACATGCTCAAAGAAGTAAAATAAAATCCACGTAGAGCTTTAGTCATAATGTTGCACATTTCCAGTAGCTCGAGTTCACAAACATTCAACTGTGGGTGTGGCGTGTGAGCACAACCATTAATCTCGCAGGAAGACAAATGCAAGCACGCACACAAAAGAGACTCACCCCACTGCAAAGGAGCAAGCTGCAGGTGCTCCAGGACCAGCTGATTGAGGACTCCCTCAACGCTGGCTTCTCCACAGCGCCGCAGAGATGGGTGGACGTGGTTAAGGACAGCAGCATGGAAAAGCTTTGGAGAGTTTCAGGAATTAATCAGCACGGGAGTCTCTGCTCTATATTTACACATGGAAAAACCTGGTATTAAATAAAAATACGTCACACTCTAAATATAACAACAATAACTAACAGACAGCTATTCTGAGGCAGGAACGAAGCCGGAGAAACGTCAAAGATACTCTAATGTAATTAAATTAAAGGAATGAACAGGCCCTTGAACTTCTGTGCTTGTCAGTGTATGCTTGTATGTCTTCAGACGTGGAATGTTGCAGGATTTCGCACAAAGAAATAGATATCACTTCCCGTTTCCACTCAGTGCCTGCTGTATACCATTTGTCAAAGAGCACATGTGAAAATCAGCTAATGCTTGTGTAATAAGACTGACTACCTTTTGGCAGCACGTCTAACTCAATATTAAAGGCTATTTAGATAAGACAAACTGAGTATCATGTGCCTGTAAATAATTATATAAAAGTTTAAGTATAAACCTGGAAATTGGAAAAAAAAAGGCAATAAAAGTGCTTGATAAAATCAAAATAGCAGGCTTCCTGTTAGTTGGAGCCATTCTCTAAACCTAAGTCTTGTGGTGGTACATGTGCATACTGAATATGTTCATCTGGACGTAGCGTTTTCTGGGAGAAACGTTTCGTCACTCATCCAAGTGACTTCTTCAGTCTTCAGTTTATAAGATTGGGGGAAACCTGCAGTCAGCTGAGACTGAAGAAGTCACTTGGATGAGTGACGAAACGTTTCTCCCAGAAAACGCTACGTCCAGATGAACAGAATCAACTTTTGGAGATTTATTTTCCTGGATGATTGAGAATGCATCAAGACGATGCATACTGAATACTTTAACAACAATAATTTTGTACGAGGCAAGTGCATGGACACTTAGGAAAATAATAATTTATAACATTCATTTAATTTTATCATTGGAGTTTTGATTAGATGGCAAAAAAGCTATAAACACAAGACAATTCTGATAGATTACAGCAAGTCACAACCATTTAAATTAAGCTTTATATCTTCCGCACAAACGTGGAAACAAACATTAGCCTGTGGTTACACTGAATGCGTATGAGGAGTGTTTGCAGAGTGTCTGCTCTCACGTCTCTCTGTAGCCACTTTCATTGATAACAATAGAAAAAAGGGATTAATTAGTAAAAGTGTGAAGCTGGCAGTCTGATTAGCAATGATGGCTGACTTATGTAGGGGATAACATGTCAGCTTTTGGAAAATACCAACCTGGGCTGAACCATGAATTTATTTTGTTTATATCTTGCTTGTTGTTAACATTCCAAAATTGTGGGTGTAACAGAATGAGATGCTCTAGAGGTCAGGTGTCGAAGTCCAGGCCTCGAGGGTCGGTGTCCTGCAGGTTGTGTCGTTGATCCAACACAGTTGATTTAAATGGCTCAATTACCCCCTCAACATGTCTTGAAGTTCTCCTGAGGCCTGGTAATGATTTAGTCATTTGATTCAGGTGTGTTGACCCAGGATGACATCTAAAACCTAAAGGGGACACCGGCCCTCGAGGCCTGGAGTTTGACACCCCTGCTCTAGAGAAATTGAATGCAGGATATTTGTAATGTTTGCAGCTTGGGTCTTGGGTTTTCTAAGGAGATTTGGTTTTCTGAAATAGGTCTGAAGCACTGATAAAACATCTGCATGAAAATTAAGAATGATGAATTTATTTGTGTTAGGTGACACAAAGAATCCATGTAAGTGGGGGAAAACATTAATGAAAACAAACACTGAGTCCTAGATATGAACACGAGAAAGGTTGGTGGGGTCTAAAGTACTTTTTTAATTCAATTAAATTCAGTTTTAATTATCTAGTGCAAAATCACAAAAGATCCTACAATAACGGGACGAAAACCTCAGAATCAGATGGCCACCCTATGAGGAAACACGTGGCGATAGTGGGGAGGAAAAACTCCCTTCTAACAGGAAGAAACCTCTAGCAGAACCAGGTTCATGGCAGGACATACGACACGTAGAAAAGTTCATTGTGTACGTAAGAAATACAGTGTTTCAAATCTTTTCTCTATGCCAACACTCAACACTGAGTGCCTCTCTTATGTCTACAAACAATATTTCCACAGTAGTAATCTGACCGGCCATTTGCCTGCTCCCTATACTAACACTTTAAGTTCAGAGCACGAGGCCACACGCTTTCATTTCTCTCGTCCTTTCTTATTTTTCCTTATATGAATTTTTATTTTTCTCCCATTCAGATTCTTTCTGCCAGCTTCTAGTTATCTTTAACGTCGAATAAACGGCAAAGTCAATCATGGGGAAATGAGCAATTTAGTGGACGTTTTAACACAAAACCACAACCCTCTGAGGCTTTCAACAATGACGAATCCCCTTTTAAAATGCTCTTAATGGTAATCATAGGCCAATACTGTAGTCCTTTTGTGTATCTTTTGTTCCCAGAAGTGTGTAACAGATTTACTACTGTAGAGAGGAAAGTCTGATTAAAATGCAGGAAAATGATCTTACTACAGTTTAGATCGTATATACCGAAGAAACCCAAGCAGCAGCTGAGTGGATCTGTCAGTCATTTGGATTACAGTACAAACCTATGTAGATCAGCGGTTTGCTCATTGACCAAAACTGCTTAAACTTCCCCACTATATTATTAAAGAGCCAATACAGCTGCTTCTGTAGATACACTAAATGTGTGGATGGATGCACGCGGCTGATATTACACAAACATCCTCGAATAACTACCAAAGCTGTCAAAAAAACAGACATTATTTGCTGGTAACAGCACTGAAGACAGATCCATCATGTTATGTTTATGTTTTGCATTCATCTAGAAGTCAAAGGTGAACGGGGAGCATGTTTTTATAACGATGGCATTAAACTGATCGCAGGGAAGGCTATCAATGTTTGAATACTGCATCAAAACAAATACGGTTGTCAGAGGGCAATTACCCAGATAATATGTGATGACAAGGACGCCGCTGATCATTTACACAGCTGACATTTGGAATAATGGGTGAGACGAGCTGCGCCTAGAGCACCAAACCTGTGTCTATTAACCTTTGAGAGAAAGTGCAGAATGCATGAAGAGGGAAAGAGAAAGAGAGAGTGAAGGCATCTATGGAGAAAGCATACTGTGTGGAAAGGTGCGGCTACCTTTCTGTTGAATTGTCTGAGTCACGATGAATCACGTCACATCATCCGTATTCCAGAGAATAACGGTAAAGTGTCAGTGTTGCAGCTTTGATCACTCAAAACCATGTAGAATTTCTATTTCAAGGCTTTGCTGGAATTGTTGGGTAACACGAGCTGCTAGCAGATATGGTCTGTTTTCAGGTGTACAACAGGGATGATACAGTAGTATAATGATCAGTATCCTGAGCCATGCTTGACTTTTGTTGGAAATTCTCAGTGGACCCTCACATAAGCTTTGAAATAGATATATTATATAATATGGGCATGATTAATGCACAAAGAGTAGTCTCTGTAACAGCACTCTATTGTAAAGAGAGCGTAAACTTTCACTACACTCATCCAACTTGCAGGAAAGATGTCATGTTCTGAATACAGATTTTAAGTGGATACTGGGTGAAGTGAACAGAATAAGTGTATATGTGTATGTGGGAATCCACATACACGAGGATCTCATCTGGACAACCAACTGCTCCAAGTTGGTCAAGAAGGCTCACCAGCGCCTCTTCTTCCTGAGGACTCTGAGGAAGAACCACCTGTCCTCAGACATCCTGGTGAACTTCTACCGCTGCACCATCGAGAGCATCCTGACCAACTGTATAACAGTCTGGTACGGGAGCTGCTCTGCCTCGGCCCAGAAGGCGTTGCAGAGGGTCGTGAAAAACGCATAGCGCATCGTCGGAGCACCACTTCCTGCCATAAATGACATCTACAGGAAGCGGTGTCTGAAAAGGGCTGGGAAAATCATCAAAGACCCCAGTCACCCAGGGACGCTACAGGAGCCTCCGGACTAAGACCACCAGGTACTGGAACAACTTCTTCCCTACAGCTGTCAGGCTCCTGAACTCTGCCTCCTGACATCTGACCCACATTAAACTCATGGACTGAACATACACAGTATGTTCTACAACTAGTTCTACAACTGTTTATAACTTGTATAGTTCATATTTCCGTATAGTTTTCATATCTATATCCTGTTCATAGCTTGTACACTCACTACAGCCTGTACATACTTATAGTTATAGCATATTCGTAACATACCTTCCTACTGTGTACATTGTAACATACCTATAATAGACCCATTGTTGTAACATATCTATATTATTGCTAAAGCACTTTCTGGATGGATGCAAACTGCCTTTCATTGCCTTGTACTTGTGACATGTGCAATGACAATAAAGTTGAATTCTATTCTATTCTAGTCATACGACCAACTGTGAAATAAGCCGGTATTAAATTAACTCATATTATATTGATCTGGTCAGTTGAGTCGCAGAGGGGGTTGTTAATCAGTTTCAGCTTCTTTGGTGTTAATGAAATTAAAAACAGGTGCACTGGGGGGCAACAATGAGATGATCCCCAAAGAGGAATGATTTTAGAGTAGGAATCCACCGACATCTTTTCTGACTGTTTGTTCACTAACTTTTCTATTTGACTACGGTCAGTGTCACTACTGGTTGCATGAGGTGATACTTGGACATTATAGAGGTTGCACAGGTGCACAGTCCAACTCCTCAGGGATGGAACACCAATATGCACCATTACCAGAAGGTTTGCTGTGTCTCGCAGCACAGTTTGAAGAGATTAAAGGAGATCAGGGAGACAGGCAGTTAGTCTAGGAGAACTGGAGAGGATTGTGGAAGGTCCTTAACCCATTGGGACGACCGGCATCTGCTCCTTTGTGCCAAGAGGAACTGCCAGAACCCTACAAAATGACTTCCAGGAGACCACTGGTGTGAATGTCTCAGACCAAACTCACTGCCCGGCACTGTGGAGCCTGATTGGCATTTGTGCTGT